CCCCAAAACCCCAAAACCCCAAAACCCCTAAATGATGGATTTGGAAATCTATGAAGTGAATTGAGGTAAAAAATAAATTATATAATGATATTAGATGAAATTAACCTTAATTAATAGGAAGTGAACTACTAATATTCATTCATTCATTTTTCTTTCGTTTATTCATTCAAGTGTTACTCTTTACTATATCTAAGTTGTTATTGCTTGAACTGATGGCGCTAAGTTCAATGATATTAATTTTATTTTCTGAGTTAAACTCAAGTTGCTGCAATTGCTGGGATGGCTATTGAATATCCAATGCATCTTTAGAAATTTCAGAGGCTTAGATCTCAGTTTGAATTTCTTCAATAATTTTATCAAGATTCTAGGAAATTTTATTAATCTCAGAGCTTGAGTTAATATCGCCACTCTGCATCTTGTTATTTTCGGTTTGCTCATTATTGCTACTAAAGAAAAAGCTCATAATATCTGAGTGATTCTTTTGGGATTCTGAATTTTATAAAAGAGTTTTAATTGGTGATGGTCCTTTAGCTGGTGAAGTATTTTTGCTATTTTTATTATTAATGCTAAGCTAGTTCAAATTGCCATTCAAAGATTGGCAGCTATCTGATTCCATTTCTTCATCATCATCCCAGGTAAAAGAATTTTAATCTTCAATTTTAGTTGGTGATGTTTTAAAATTCTAAATTTATCCAATTATGCTGCCCAGTTTTTGCCCATTGCCAATCACAGTTGAAGCGAATTTAAAATGACTTTGCTCTATTTTCTATCTCTTTCTTTAAATCAACTCTTCCATATCAATTTCCTCATCGTCATCAACTTCGTTATCTTACAATGTCCCTTTGGATATAGAATCAGAGTTAAATGACTTTAAATTCCCATTTTATATAAAATTAGCAACACTGGAAGATCTTTTAGTGCCTACTCTACAAATCAAGTTTTTGAATTCTTCTTCATTATCTTGATAATCTCTCTTGATCAAATCTTCAAATGTGAAAGTTCTCCTTTCTGATTCTACAGACTAACTTCTCTTCTATGCTGGTAATACTACTCCCAAATTGTTAGCTTGTCTGCGTAACAATTAAGTTTCAACTCTTTTCTTTAAAGTTTAATTGTACTTGTTAGTTATTTGATTTGTAATTGCTTATGTTGTTGCTCTAGTTCTGCCTAAATTTTTAAGTTTTAAATGCAAGTTGTCATCAAAGAACATTTTAAATAGACCTTTATTCCAAGCTAACTTTGCTTAATTTTCCTTAACAAAATTAGTGAATTCCTTGCTATCTAGATCTTTTTCCAAAATCTTTTTAGCATAAAGATTGATCAACTCAAAAATAGTAGATTCAAGCATATTGTATTAAGCCTTTTTCTTTTCCTTCGCTTCTTCAAGTCCTCTCAAAATTGATTGCATTACATCATGCTTATTAATATTTTGATAAAAGCTGATGTCCTCTGAATTCAGCAAAGACTTTATAAATTTCACACACATCAATCTAATGTATTTATTAACCTTCACATCACTAATAAAACCAAGTGCTAAGGCAGTTAACTTCTCCTCTAAGATAAAATTTCTCATGATGATTGTATTCGACTTTCTCTCTCTTCGATATTCACTAGTTCCAAATGAGGTTGGGATAGCTTACTAAAGCTACTAAATAGTAGGTTTACAAATGTATTGTAAAAACTCGAAAACATATTAAATAGCCTAGGAGTATTGATTTACGTCCTTAGTTTTTATGATCACCAGAAACAACTTAAATAGTGAGTTTTTAAGCATTTTCTCTACTTGTTGTTACTGAGTCTCGCTTGAAGTTCCATCTATGATCTGCTTGAAAGTCTCTATGATCTGAAGTCTAATACCTTCATTTTCTGTTATGAAAAAGTGTAATGACAGGATTTATGAGATCTCAGAGTCTTGGAGAAAGTACAAAATTACATCTTTAAATAGCATTTGCTATAAAAAGTATAAGTAGTCAAGTACTGTCACTAAAATGTTATCTTAAACTTCCCCTAAGCTATTCGAATCTATATTTTATTATTCTTAAGATCTATTCACTTCTAATTTGCTATCTATTGATTAATTTGTTTCAGATTGTTGATCAATTTGAATTTCTTCATTGATTATGTTATTTTTTAATTCATCAAGATTATCAGGTGGACATTCAAAGCTACAAGGTAATTCCTGCTGCTAATTTTGAGATTCTATTTAACTCTATTTCGACGTTTCAGTCAATACCATATTTTCAGATATTTACTGGGAATCTATATTTTACCCAACTTTTGCTTAAATATCACATTCATCTTTCATTTCAGTATCTTCATTTATCTTATTTTCATTCTTAAAATTATCTTCTCCATTTATTTATTTTGTTTACTCATACTAGAGCTCAACTTGGATTGTTTGAAAAGTCTCTTGTGTATTTTATAATTAAAATTAGATTTAAACTTCCTCTTTTAATAATCCTAGCTCTATGGCTTTTCTTTTCATTCTAGGATCTGTTTAAAGGGCATATTTGATAAAACACATTGAATTATTTTTCCTAATCAGACTTTCCTGGATAGTGCCAACTCTTATCTGGCTTTGAGGCTGTTTGCATCTGTTAATCAACTCAAATATAAAGGAAGCAACATCCACATGATCCTGCAAAGTCTTATCTGGTCTTTAGAAACTTTCAAGCAACTGCTTCAACAAGTCGTTCTTTGTTAATACATGATTTAAAATTGCTTAGGAGTAGTCTAAGATCAGTTTATTAAGAGTTCTAAGTTAATTTACATCCTCCTTTGCAAAAATATGCTCTTTTAAATAGTTAAGCCTGAAGAGAATCGGGATTTTCTTTTCTATATAGGGTGAACTAATATCGATTATTTATCTATATTTAGCAATCTTCATATAATCCACACATTTTAAATCTCTATATTCAGGGATTAATTCTACTGCTCTAAATGTTTAGAGATAAAATCTATTAGTCATGAGCGCCTCTAATATGTTCTAATCTTCTAACTTTAGCAATAACTTATAAATTCCTGATACATTATTCAATCTCTATTAAGTCAATGATATCGCTTATTCCTCATTACATGAAATAGGCTATTCTTCATTGTTATCAAAAGCAGATTTTATAGGTATTTTACTAACATCTATTTATTTGTTTGATTCGTCAATTGCCATCTAATCACACTCTATTTACTATTACTCATTTTTCTCTTTTAATTTTAATTCCTCCTGCTATCTTTATTAAGCTTCTTTTAAGGCAAGTTCATTTTTATTCTTTTCATCAAGTATCTCCAAAAATTAGCCTAAGTCTTATATAAATTTAAAGTTTCTCTCTTATATTTTGATTATAACTTGGCGTCTCTAGTTATCGTAAGGAGCAGGGTTTAAACACGTACCTAGTTTCAACAGATAATATTCAAGATTATCTAATTTAAGGTCAGGGGTTTAAATGACATCTGAAGGCTCCTATTTTTTCTAAACAATACCATTCATACTCCTTAGACCTGCCATTGCACCAACATTTTAACTTCTTGTCATTATTTGATTTCTGCCTAAACTGTATCTATCACCTCCTCCTATGTACTAATTCATTAAATCTTCCTCATTTTCTTCATCATCATCCTCAAGATGTGCTTTATAATCAATGCAGTCGTCTTCATCATCATCGTCGTCTTCATCTTCATCATTCATAAGGTCTGTATAGCCACAACCAAGTCCGAATTTCCCCTTTAATTCAATCTTATTAGTGTATTGTTAAGGCTAAAACTACTTATTATTATTATTAATATTATTATTATTCTGGCGTTGTTGGTCTTACTATATCTTTATCATGTTTTGCTGATCTTTCATAAATTGCTTTCTTTTAAGAACTTGATTTTACAAGAGCTTTTCTGGGTCTTTTTCCTCTTCATCATCGTCTTCATTTGAAGAATTAGAAGATGAGTTGTTGTTACTGCTCTTTCTGTTATTCTAGGTTTCATCCTCGCTGTCTCCTGAATCAGAGGAGTCATAAGGTCTAAAAGTCAATTTCTTTAGACTCATGCTCTTATACTCATTATTATTCTCATCATCGTCATCTTCGTCATAATCTTCTCCATAACCTTAATTCATCTGCTCTATAACATCGTTCAGGTCAAAGTCTTGATACATCAACGAGTTCTAGGGTTTATCAAGTGGCTTATTGAATTACTGATATATCTACTGAGTCATTTACTATTTAAGCATTTTTTACTTCTTTATTTGCTTAGCTAGTTCAAAACTTTCAAGTACTTACCCTTTCTTAAGGCACTTCTGAATCTTAGTGTGTCCCTCTTCATCCTCTGAATCAGAATCTGACTCCTCGTTATCATCTGAGGAGTCACTCTCATTGTTATCATTATCACTGGAGCTATCTTCAGTCTTAGCCCCATTATTTTTATCTTCTTTAGCAAATTTAAGGCTATTTAACTTCAGTTATTCGAAATTCTATTCTCTCAGAATTTGATCTTAAATACTCTCTGTAGCTTGATCTTGATTGGGATTAGCTTAAAAGTTTTAATCTTTCTAAAATTGTTTCTCTATTTAAGCCTCATAAAATCCTTTACCATTTTCTTACTGAAAATTTGCTATATTATTTGGTTTGGCTTCTTAATTATCTTTTCTTGTTATTATTGAATTTAGATTATTACTGATATCAATCTGGACTTCGCTTGCTGCTATAATAGACTGGTCCTGTTCTTACTACTGCT